CCATACAAATGCATGGAGTGTGGAAAGAGCTTCAGCCAATCCAGTGGTCTCGTTATTCATAAAAGGATCCACACAAGGGAGAAACCATACAAATGCATGGAGTGTGGGAAGAGCTTCAGCCAACCCAGTGGCCTCATTATTCATAAAAGGATCCACACAGGGGAGAAGCCATTTAAATGTACGGAGTGTGGAAAGTCTTTTAGTCAGAGCACTCACCTTACTGGCCATAAAATGATCCACACAGGGGAGAAGCCATTTAAATGCACAGAGTGTGGAAAGGGCTTCACTTTAAACTGTTCTCTTACATACCATCAAAGGATCCACACGAGGGAGAAACCATATGACTGCATGGAGTGTGGAAAGTCTTTTAGTCAGAGCAATCACCTTACTGGCCATCAAAGAATCCACACAGGGCAGAAGCCAAGATAAATGCATGGACTTTGGAGAGAGCTTTAGGAGGAGAAATGACCTAATTTCCCTTACAGAGATACGCTTGGGTGGGAATGTATGTTAATTCTAGAAAGTTAGTTACATGTATTAATTTTTGTATTTAGAGAGACTGACCTTGCAAAGGAATTTTTTCTTAGCTCGATCCTTCCTATTGTCTGACCAAGGAGTATGAATTTACTAGTGAAACTAAAAACAATGGGTAGGTGCCATTTTAATTATGACCTGGATTATTGAAGGTTTATATATTTAAGTAAGATTTATTTCCTTCTCAAAAGTAAGAGTCTTACTCCCCACTTGTTCTTTCCACATGATCACATTCAAAAGGATTTAAATTTCCCTTTTCCCCCTAATCTTTCAATTGTTCCCCTTTCTCATTCATTAATAGACACCCAATGTATTAGTGTGCTTTTCTCTATCCTCAGAAAAGTTGGAAGTGGTGCAGCAGAGAGATTCTAGATACACACACACACACACACACACACACTGCCGCATGCATCCTTTTGGCACATGGAATCAAGGTGACGTACACCAGATCAAACTTTGAGAATGAGAGTGATGCACCTGAAAGAAACATTACCCAAAGAGGAGGCATCCTCAGTGGTTTACCATATTAACTGCAGTAACTGTTCAAGCAACTACGTAGGGGAAACAACTAAGCAGTTACAGACTAGCGTGCACAAACATGAATTGGCTGTCCGGCGCAAACAACAGTGCTCCCAGATCTGGACACACATGAAGGAGCACAACCATATGTTTAATTTTCAAGAGACTGAAGTTGTTGCCTGTGAAGCAACTAACGGGGGACACCTACGGAGAGAAACCTGGTTTTCCAACAATTTCATCAATAGGCACCTCTAACTGCTACCGGCTTACCAAGCATTGAGGCACCAAGAAAAATCCTGCAGGATGAGGAGAGACTTCTTCCCATCGAGGAGTGGGGACTAACGACACCCCCTCCCCTTTGGATATGTAGATTCAGTTTGCAGAGGCATAGCCAGCCCTGGCCAAATACAGAGGAGCCCAGCAAAGCTGCCTCAAGATATGGACAATGAGGAAAGAGCCGGGCTGATTACAAATCACAGGCAAAACAACAAATTAATCTGGTTGATATATCAAAGTGAGGCAGAGGTCCATTGGTGTGAGGGAGGGCCCCCCCCGGAGAGAATGCTGTCAAAGTAACAGCTGACAGTTTAGCACCATTTCCTGGGGGTGAGCAGCCTAAGCAGGGCATGATTGGGAGGAAGCAACAGGAGTTAAGCTTCCATCAATTGACATGTCTGAAGTAAAAACAATAGAGCTAATCATAGGTGGGAGGCAGGTGGATGGGCCTATTACACGCGCAATGACTAAATTGATCAATGATGCATAAAGGGAAGAGAATTCAAGTTCTATCAAAGTTTAGAGAGAGGGAATTTGATATGGAATTGTCCTATTACGTAACTGTGATATTGCATTCATGGTGAAAAGTAAGAGGTTTTCTACTTTTAATTTTTCATGATTCCCTCTCTCTCTCTTTTTGTCCCAAGTTTGGGATACTCACTAAAATAACAAAGTGATGCCACTGTGCTGACATTGCAAATGGATCAAGCAAGAAAAGTGCCAATTGCAAATCTGTGGGACCAAAATAAATAAGCTTGAGGTTAAAAAAAACTACTTCAGAAAACTACTTCTGATCCTTCTGACCAGAAATGAGACGGGGAGCCACCTGTGTGATGTGAAGAATTCCAAAAAAGACTCTAAAGTTGCATCCACGGTGTAGAACTGTGACTGAGCCAGGTACTGTATGGAGAAGCATGGAGCCTTATTTAGTGAAAGGCCTCATAATCTGAGGGAATTGTCACATGCACATCAATGTACAGTGCGTGAAAAGAGCTGAAGGGATGAAGGATTCCTCTTTCTCTAAAGGACATAGAATGATCAGAAGCCACCCCCACCCCCCAAATGCATGTGTAAAATATTTTTTCAAGCATTATGACCATATTTTACTCTTCTAAAGTGTGATGAAGACTAAGAACTCTAAATTTTATTTAAATAAAATTAAATATCAATGGTGTAGTTACTTTCTAGTCATCTATTAAGCTCTTTTTCTCTTTAGTTGTATTAAACATATAGTAACATTCAAATATGTGGAAGTATTTGGGTGCGGGCATAGTCAGGATTTCAGAGGCTCATGATGGTTTGCATTTGCTTATTCAGGACTGTTCATTTTTGAGGCCTCATTGAATCTATACAGATCCTTCAGAGTGGCTGTTTTGGAGGAAAGTGAGTTTTGATCCTCCACAGAAATTTAATACTCAAAAGATTACAAATGATTCCTACACAGTAAGTGGAATAAAAATGTGGGGTAGACTAGCGGGGGAAGGGGGGAGACAGAGGACGACATGATCGCAGTATTCCAGTATTTGAGTGACTGGCACTAAGAGGCGGGGGTCAATTTATTTTCAAAAGCAGTTGAGTGCAGAACAAGAAACAATGGAGAGAAGCAACCTGGAATTAAGGAGAAACTTCCTAACAGGATAATTAACCAGTGGAACAGCTTGCCGTCAGAAGTACTTCAACATGAGGTTTTTTTTAAATCAGGTTTTTAATTTTATATTACTTATACATATCAATGCATGAACAGTGTGATATCTAGGTACCATACATTTAGTGTAGATAAAGAATGTTGTAACTTGGAGTTATTTCATTTTCATTGTTTCACATTATGTAAACATATCTAATACTACTGCCATTCAATTTCTAGACATCCCTCTTGTTATTACATAGATTTTCTTATCTTCAAATACATATATTGTTGTTCCCCTCTTAATTCAATTTCTATTCTTTCTTATTTTTCCCATTGGTTCATTTAAGCATACATAACATTTCTTTTCACCATTATGTATTATCCCTTTGATATTCTGAAAAATACTCATTTTTCCACCCTGCTTTCAATATCTCAAATATCCAGCACTACTAATCAATCCAAATATTAACAGTAACAAATACCAAGTTTACATCTCCCACTCCCCACAATTTCTAATCCTTAAAGTTTAAAATTCACAATACATTTTAACACACTGTTAATAATACCATTAAATTCCCTAATCCTAAACTTCCACCTTCTACCCTTAACTTATTTTTAAATAGAGTAAATTCTATTTTTCTATTAGTATATATGCTACTGTTTTCCTTGTTTATATTTCTACTTTTCCATTTTGCTAATGTGTTTTATCGCTATCCATCATCTCTTGGTCTCTTTGAAGTTCCATCATCTGTTTGCTTCTCAATCCCCCCCCCCCTCTCTCTTGGCACATGGACTTCAATTCCCAGAATTCCCAAGGTAGCATGTAGTTCACCCATCTTCAATTTGCCAAGACTGAAAAATGCTGATTTACAGAGAGGGACTTTCCCATTCCTCTTTTACTGGTTCTTATTTATTTATAAGCAATCATAATGTATAATCCTCGCTTACACTTACACCAACCAGTTCGCTGCCCGGTTGCTGGGTGAGCGTTGCCATGGTGGGCATGGCCTACAGAAGTTCCTGTTTCCGGCTTCCGGTGGGCCTCCAGAACCTGGGGGAGGCCGTTTTTGTCCTCCCAAGGGTGCAGAGTCTTCCCCAGAGCCTCTGGGAGGGCAAAAACAGCCTTTCCCAGCCTCTGGAGGCCCACCGGAAGCTGGAAATAGGCCCATTTTGCCATTTTTGTTTTTTCTGGGAAGGCCATTTTTCACCCTCCCAAGGGTCCAGAGGCCTCGCCCAGGCTGCTGGGAGGGCAAAAACAGCCTAGCCTGGGCTCTGGAAGCCCTCCGGAAGTTAGAAACAGGCCTGTTTCCAGATTTCCAGAAGGCCCATTTTTCTCCCGCCCAGAGCCTCTGTGTGGACCCTGCAGTTACCTCCATGGAAAATGGGCTGCATGGAGACTTCTGGCAGGGGAGGGGCGGGGCAGGAGAGACAGGGCCAGCCGGTCAGTTGAAATGCCAGTTCGGCGAACCAGCTGTAACTTTAACATCAGGTTATCCCGAACTGGTCCGAACCGATAGAATCCCACCCCTGCTTCTACCCCATCCCAGAGCAACCACCATTCCCTCACTAACCTGCTTTCCAGCTCCATTTTCCTGTGTGCAGGGCAACAAAAGAATTATCATTTATACCATTGTAAGCAATCAAACATGTTCTCTTACTGCTCATAAAAGAATCCACACCGGGGAGAAACCATATAAATGTAAGGAGTGTGGAAAATGCTTTCGAGATAATGCAAATCTTGTGAAACATAAAAGAATCCACACAGGGAAGAAACCATACAAATGCATGGAGGTTTGCTGCGCTCAGCCAAAGGGCTGCCTCAGTGGCGGGGAGGGGGGGGACATGGTGAGGCAATGGGGAGGGAGAGAAAAGGGGAGAAGAGAGAGAGGAAGTGGAAGAGAGAAAGAGAGAGAAAGAGGGAAAGATTGAGAAAGAGAAAAAAAGAGGGAGAGAAAGAAAGAAAAGAAAGAAAAAGGGAGAGAGAAAGG